CACACTCCGGGATACGCCGCGTGGATCATGAAGAGGCGGTTTATCCAAACACGCGCGGACAAGTGGAGCTACGGAGAAAGCGAATTTAGAAAACTCGCTCATACACCCCTCTTTTTCATCCCAATGAGGAAGTTTCGTTAAGTGCTTCTTCAGCGGTTTCCGTTGCTTCCTTTTTCATTTGTAGTCAACTTGGCATCCACACTTCCGTTATTGGCCGCTGTTGAAGCGCCAATTTGGTGAGGGGTTTCTGCTCGAAAGCCCGTTCCATCTTTCCAAACGTGGCGAATGGGCTCAAGGAAGAATTGTAGGAACTCTGCGATCCAACGAAAAATTTGAGTGCCAGCAAATGTGCCCCATGATATGATGAGGCTGCGGTCATATTTTCACCGCGGAAGAGATACTTAGCGATCAAGACATGATCAGTGCGCATCAACTATACCCTCCAACTACGAATGAAACGCTATGCATTCGCAGTATGTGACAGCGGACTTGGGTTTTTCTTTTCTTATGGTCAGCTCATTTTGGCACTGTACGAGCAAACGGCTATGAAACATTGGCGCCGGGGCAAGAGAGCAGACGTCGAGGAAGCAAATGAGACGCAGACCTTCCTAGAGGATGTCACTTGTAAAAGATCGAGTCCCTGGTGCGATATTCTTGTAAGACCCTTGTCAAACACCTTGGTTCATTCTGTGTTTGTGGAGCCAGCATTCAGTAAGCACTCAATTTTCTGTCGGGTTGCCCAAGGGGCGAAATTTACCGTAACAGTGGACTTTGATGGCTCACATAATTCGATTACATGATGAAATTCAAGGTTCCACCAAAAGGGGAAGAGTAAGGCTTCAAGTGTAGATTGGTATCACACCGTGTTCGGCTTCACTGCGCGTGATAGCCTGTCTCGGTTCCACCATTCTCATCCCATATGAGAGTGGAAGTACTCGACTGGCTTCTCAGGGCTTGAAACTTTTCTTCCTAGACGAGTTGCGATCGTCTACATTGACGCTTCACCATTTTAGCCGCTGGTGTTACCTCCGGACAGTAAATAGCACAATTTCAAGATTTAGTGGTAGATCAGTGGAATTAGTAAACATTGACTTATTCTTCTTCTGGAAATTACTTTTGCCATTTCTGAGTTCATCTAGCTAAATCACAAATGGAGCATGAGCAAACTGATGCACTAGTTTGTTTGATTTTCCGGGAAGGGCATCGATAAGTGACGACTGTGAGAAAGGGTGAAAGTCCTTATTTCTGTGGAGTTGTATAGAAATATCGTTGCGTGCAAGCGTAAGTGGTGTGCGTTTAATGAGGACATCCCTTCTCTCATCATTATTTTTGCTTCTTCCCTACTATTTCCAACTCAGACTCGATGGATCAAATCATGGAAAAAATTTATGTTGCGTAATGGAGAGAGGGCTTCTATAATGAACTCAACTACTTCACCTTACATTTATTTTCCAAAAGGGTTTGATGTCAAGGGAGCTCATGGTGCCTGCAACCTAAGGGGGTCTCAAAAATTAAGTCTGCTCATATGAGCGTCGCCACTGTTCCGAGATGATAGGGGTTAGTACAACTTTCTTAGTCAAAATTTCCTGATGTTTCCTCACAGAGGCAGAAATATCCTGTTAAATGTCGTGCCTAAAAAATACGAAGCGGTATGCTTCCTTGACCATTTCTAACACCCGGGGTCCATGTCCGCCTGAAGCGGCCGCATAACCTCCTTGATTGAATCACACGTGTGCGTTAATCTTCTGTGCCTCTCTTATTGCTTGCTGGCGCGTGAAGTTGGCAAATGATCTCTTTCAGGTCGATGAACGGCCATCTGAGCAGTATTCCGATATTGGAGGATGTGACAAACAGATTCAAGAGCTCATTGAAGCTGTAGTCCTACCAATGACTCATAAAGATCGATTTGTCAACCTTGGAATCCATCCACCAAAAGGAGTGCTTTTGTATGGCCCTCCAGGTACGTTCGAAGTTTCGAAATATAGGTCGCTTCAGTGTTCAGAATTAGTTTTTTTTTTCAAATTCGCTATCTAAATGTTCTCTGTTCTGTCTAGGTACTGGTAAAACCATGATGGCCCGCGCTGTCGCAGCTCAAACGAAGTCAACGTTCTTAAAACTTGCGGGGCCGCAGCTGGTGCAGATGTTCATTGGAGATGGAGCGAAGCTAGTGCGTGACGCGTTTGCACTAGCCAAAGAGAAAGCCCCGGCAATTATTTTCATCGACGAATTGGACGCAATTGGTCAGTTTATTTTCTGTGTGCTATAGGTTTAAATTGTAGAATTGCGGCTACCCTCCTACAATTGTCTGCGTTTAGATTATCAGGCCACTTTTTTTAGGCACAAAACGTTTTGATTCCGAGAAAGCTGGAGATCGAGAAGTGCAGCGCACCATGTTGGAGTTGCTAAATCAGCTTGATGGGATTCCAGCCCAATGATGAAATCAAGGTTCTTTTTTCAGTATTCGTCGTATTTTCGCAAGGGGGTCACTTGTGTGTGGGCTGCGCGTTTGTCATTCAACACGTTTTATAGGTTATTGCTGCCACGAACAGAATTGATGTCCTTGATCCCGCCCTGCTGCGATCAGGCCGTCTTGATAGAAAAATTGAGTTGCCACATCCGAATGAGGACGCTCGAGCACGTATTATGCAAATTTCATTCAAGGAAGATGAATGTGAAGTGGGTTTTCGGATTTTCTTGACTCTTTTAGATATTTTTGGGCTAAGTCCTGCGGCTAAAGTCGAACTGTACGACTTCCTATCGTTAGATCACCTTTTCATAGCCTTGTTTCCCATGTTTCACTAATCATCTTTTTCCTTTCTTTCCGGTAAATCTTCTGGCAGTATCCTCTGCTGCTATCTACGAAAGTTTTGAAAGTATTCGGACTTTATTAAAGTGGAGCTGCTCCGCGTGAGACGCTCTGGTGTAATATACCGGATGCTCGCTGTCCTTCTGGGCGGTATTCAATCCTTCCCCCAGGGGTTGGGGGACGGAAATCCCTTTAAATTTTCCCTGTCTTCCCAATGGGGTTGTCCTGATAAAGGGCCTACGTTTAATGTATTTATGTATGTCAATGTAATCATGCGTTGAAAATGAAGAAACTACATCGTTCTAAACAAATAAATTTAAAGGGATTTCCGTCCCCCAACCCCTGGGGGAAGGATTGAATACCGCCCCATGGATTGGCTGTGATATGTTTTATACGATGTACCATATTTAAAGCTGCGCCCACATTCCGCGTCGAATTAAAATCATCGGAATCGCGAACGAAATCATTGGGCCCTTTTGTTTCTGTTCTTGTCAGTTGCCTCTCTAAATTGAGTCAGTTGAGCAGGCTTGGACTATGGACCATTGGACTTCAAAGTATGGTTAACCCTTTGACGACAATGCGGATTTGCACGTAGCGTGCTCGTGGGACCACGCCTCTTTTTGGCGCGCCCAACTCTCGCACAAAATGGGGCAAAATTGTCCCTAAAAGCAGTTTTTCTATCAAAATTTTGACTATGACAATAAACAAAATATGACTGCAGTCTTAAGCTTTATGATCATGTATTGTTGGAATTAGAAGTGGAAGTTTGGAAAGAAATCTCGGATTTCAAAGGGATGGTGTTTGAAAACTCTAGAAGTTCAAATGTACAGTAGAATTTTTGATATAGTTCAAACTCCTCCTTGTGTCTTAAGACTGTGAAAAGACGTAGAGGTCCTGATCTGTAATTCACCTTAAGCTTAATAATGTAAAACACTAGTTAATACATCGCCGAGCGAAGTGCCATATCCTAAAATTTCATATAAATTAGCTAGTAACAAACATTTCTGCAAAATATGCTAAACATAGGCGTAACGGAGCTTGCTTATAATTACTGATATGTTGAAAATGTTTTAAATGGGTAAAGAAGAAAATTTTAGGGTGGCACCCACCATTGGGTGCCATTGTCCCACGCGACGGTCATAGTGGCACCCACCGGTGGGTGCCATTGTCGCCAAAGGGTTAATGTATAATACCTTACATAACGAATGATGTGCGAGAACTCTTATGTCTTATGAACTACTAGCTTCATCTACTGGGCTGTTTCTATCTTTCTCTTTCGATCCGTTTCATCTCAGTTCTGTGATACTAATTGTTTTGCTACTGCTGCTTGTTGTTTTTCACCACAAGCCTATTATTATGGGAGTGGTGAGTTGTGAGGGAAATGCTCCTCTTCGGTCTTTGCTCGGAGTCCGTTTGAAGTTACTTACTCATTCGGGTTTTATGTATCTGATCGGCTGCACTACCAAGACTCTACGCGCTTTTATCCAGCATGAGTTTTCTGCCGACCCTTGTGGGACAATACATTTTTCGTTTTTATCTGAGTCTCTACATTTTATCAGCAATCTAGTACATATAAGTAATCATGCGTGTGATGTCTCCGTAATGGAGCAGATGAACAGGGTGGCCGTACAGCATCCGAGACCAAACGTTTTCCACACTGCATTTTCGACGGCGTCAAAGGGGTAACCCCGCTGTTACAACCGATGCTTCTTTC